GCCATCACGTTTTGAAATGTGCGAACATTAAAAGGATGTATTAGGTAATCCGAACATGGTTTCTATGAAACATGAAAATGGTAGAGTATTCAAATAACCCTTGAGTTGATTTCTCAAAAGTCGTTTCGATCGTGTTTAATGGAGCTTTATTTCACATTTATGAAAGAAATCTTATCGGTTAAAAAAAACAACTTCGCTTTAAAATAATTTCTACCTTCACAGCGTCATCAAACAAGAGTCCTTGAAAACCATCATCGCCTAGGAGATTAATTAGTATTTTCCATCGATTGCGCCAAAGGAGCATTGAGCCCCCAATATCACCAAGGCCATAGTTTCGGGTGTTGCACGAAAACACTAGCCAGTGCAATACTAATTATTTAAGACCTTATTTTAGTAGAACTATTAGTAGTAGTAGTAGTAGTAGTAGTAGTAGTAGTAGTAGTAGTAGTAGTAGTAGTATTATAAGAAAATAGTAGTTGTTGTTGAAGTAGTAGTAGTAGTAGTAGTAGTTGTAGAAGTAGTAGTAGCATTAAAAGTAGTAGTAGTAGTGGGAGTAAAATAGTAGTAGTAGTTGTTGTAGTAGTATTAGTACTGTAGTAGTAGTAGTAGTAATAGTGGTAGTAGTAGTGGTGGAGGTGGTGATGGCGGTGGTGGTGGTAGTGGTGGTAGTGGTTGCGGTGGTGGTGGTGGTGGTGGTGGTGGTGGTAGTAGTGGTGATTGCCATACCTAATTAGGCGCCAAAACGGTATTCTGGCCTCATTTTGACCAATGGTATAGCGCGATTCTAATCATGTGAGATATAATAGTTGATGTTTAACGACTTATCGACTTATATTTAACCCATACAATGACTTGGACAGCGTAACAATGTCAGAAAACAATCAAATAATACAGTATAACTTTAGATAAAGGAAGGAAGAGCAACGGGGAACTGTTTGATTATAATCATTGAACTAAGAGTGGATTTATGAAAATTTAAGAAAATGCGTATACTTGGTAAATGAACATATATATTGAATTCCAAGTGTCGAGCAATGAATTTCCTGATCGTGATTTGCCTAATCATTTAACATTTACTTGTGAAGACGTCTTGATACAGTAAAATGGTCAATATTGGGTCAACAACACGTCACGGCTTACGATGAAAGTTTATGTTAGATATCTACGTTAATACGTGAATACGCACAACTTGGACAATCGACGATTGGCTATCTAACTGCTGTAAGCCGAGAATCCATTAAAGACTTTTCAATCCTTGTCTGATGGAGAAACTTAATTTGTCGTGAAAGCTTCCCCTCTGGTAATGAAATGATCTCTATGGTATTGCATGAGAGATTTTGTTTATACAATTAGTGCCAATTGCAGGATAGGAATGAAGAAGATGGCACGAGACGGAAATTGATGAAACGAAGAAAGGTACGTGGAAAAAATATGATTGGAAAATAATATTGTTGAAGAAGACGACATGAATACTATTAGAGAAGACGGAGCAGGAGGAGGAGGAGGAGGAGGAAGAGGGGGCAACTAGAAACGAGAGGCTCAATGAAATAGAGAATGGAACGTAGTAAACAGTGGCGTAGCTATTGCCCTCCCATAGAAGGGCCAGTTTAAGAAAAAATGGAATAGCGAGAGAGAGAGAGAGAGAGAGAGAGAGAGAGAGAGAGAGAGAAATAGGGAAGAGGGAGTAAGATGGTCGGTTCATCCTATCCCCTCCCTCGAGGACCTTAGGCCTTGGTCTGTCGCATAGCCAACCTCTGCAGTAAATCCCAAACCCGCCCCCTCCTAACGTCACTAGTGCCCCCCCCCCCCTCGATGGCTTGAGGTTAACTACGCCACTGTGATTAAATGATGGTTTAACGGAACCAACTTTTTAGTCCGGATGTTTTTGAGACAATCCGAGAGTGATTCGAAGAATAAATCAAATGAATTGAATTGGCAAAATAAGTGTTTGCCTTTTTGGAGGGAAATACACATGTTTTCGTAGATTAAATGCGATTGAAACGTGCTACGTCAAAGACACATAATGACGTGAATAGAGGTGAATGTTTCGCAACGGGACGATAATGTTTTTACCGAAACTCTTTTTTTTCGACAACATAATAATTATTGCAGTGGAAGAGAATGTTTAATGTTGGAATATTATATGAAGAGTGATTGGGGAAAAAAAGAAATCTACCGGTCAAGATACTGAAACAGAAACAGTTTTTTTACATTTTAGAATAGATCAATAATTATCTTTTGCACTTGAATTGAATGAACTATTCATAGCACAAAATAACACTAAGCCCATTGATGATAGGAGTGGATTTCTGCGCTGGAAAACTCACAAACCATCCCTCAAAACTTAAATTTTTCCTAAGTGATCTATGTGATCTATTTCCTGTGAGACTGTACATTTTTCTCCTCTTTTCATATTTTATTTTGATTTGTAAGCGCTATGGTACTTATTGTTTTTAGCGCTCCTAAATAGAAAGATAAAACAAGAAAACCTATTTTTGAAGGGCAAAAGCAAAAGTTCCCCATCAATCTATGAAAGAAAGTTGAATGACAATACAACAAATGTCAATGCTCTCGAAACTCATATTAGATTGTAATGAGCAGTGCCAAAATTATGGAGAGATGGCGGAGAGTGCGTAAAAACAGACAGAAATACATTAAAAAAAAAGGAGAAGTGAAGTTACTGACCCTTGGACGTCAGTGACAAGGAGATCAGAACCTGCTTCAGTAAATTCTAATTTGGTCGGAAAGGTCAACGATCTTCCATTCATAGAGATCTTCTACTCATCAAGACCTTTGCAGAGGTGTGGGCGTGGCGGGCGATGAGGCAAGGGTGCACAGGGGAGTCATTTGAAACCCCTTTTGCGTCCGCTATCTGTGGCGATTCACACAACACACAGCTCTCCTGTGACCGCGGTACAAACACCGTCATGGATCAAATGGATCTATTGTGACACGGTCAAAGTGACAGTCAACGCAGGAGCAAAGTTTTAAATGCTTGGATCATTTGCATTCATTATCATCTTGTGTCCAGTCCCGGATATCACGTTGACTGTCAAATAGCAATCACACCGAAGCTTGTTTTTAAAAACAGTTTTCACCTTTTGTGCATAGGTTGTACTAACATGGTCTCAATATTTTCTAAATGTGCGATTATCGGCATACATTATTCTAAAGTGTGGAACCAGTGCTTGATACGCCCCCCCCCCCCCACAAAAAAAAGTAATGGGGTGGATAGCAAGAATGAACGATTTCTTTTTTTTCCCTCTCTCCTTGCTATGATATTAAAATTGAAATATCTTGCTTCTCATTTCATTTAGGTCTTAGAGGCTTCTCAAGTCGCGGTTATGTTTGATGTTTAGGCATTCGACCTTAACCAGAAAAATGGAAAGAGTATGTCAAATTTTTCAAGAAAATGAGACAAAAGCTTTTTAATTTTAGCTGTATGATAGCTGCCATCGGGATTATATCTACAAGTAAATATTGTTATTATGCATGGAGGGTTTGTGAGAGCTTTTTGGCTTATGCGTGTTCCCTTTTCGTTGATGAACATTGATGGCACATCCTAATTTTAAAAAAAATTGCGGTAGAATTCCAGGAACAGTTTTCTTTTCTTCTCTCCAAAGTGAGACCTTTCTTACTCCAGTTTTTAATTCCCACGTATTGAGATTATTTGTCGTCGAATAGTTTGTTGTTTCTTTTGTTCTGTTTTAGCCATTTCTCCCCACATCTTTGTCCTAATTATTGATATCCTATTATCCAACCTTATTAAAATTCCGCCTTCTATCAATATCCCCGTCTTTCTTTGTTTGTACTATTTATTTCCTTTCGTATTCTTCTATTTCTAAATATTTTTTTACCATTTGCTTCTCTCTGCTATGGCATCTTCTGTGGCTTTATGTCTTGATGACTAGTGTCATCAATTTGATATAAACAAAATATGTTATATTTTTCGATGCGTATGGTAATTACATTGAAAAATTCTCCCGAATCAAACTTTCAAAATATTCGAATTATTTCTTTTCTCGTATATTAATGGATGGGGTCTGTTCAATATTTTACGCTTGGATGAACACTGGCATCCGATTGTAGATTTTATTTTAAAAACTTGGCTCTTGCAAGAAATGATGAGTTTAAATATGTTAATAGCTCTGTATATAGTCATAATTAATAAGACAAAACAAAGTTTCGTCAGATTTTGTTAACGAGATTTCCGCGGCCCTCCCGTGAATGTCAGGAAGCGAGGCCGTGAGGTCTCTTTGGAACAAAATTGTTAATATTACCTGGAGCAAGTGATAATATTATTTTCATGTTTGCTTACCTAGGGGGACGCAGTCGTTTCTTCATCCTGGACCCATCTAATATGACACGATCATGACTACTTTCGAAAAATCAATTCAAGGGCAATACCCTATTGTATGTCCCATAGAAACCATGTTCGGATGACGTAGTATGTCATCGTCAGTAGGGACTTTTAGATTTTCACGACGAGAACGTGGACTGCTCGTGTAACATCCTTTTAAGGCAATGTGACGTCACTGCCAGTGCCTTAAAATGACGTCACATTGCCTTATAAGGATGTTACACGTCGCGGTCCACGTTTTCTTCGTGCAAATCTAAAAGTCCCTATTGTGACGAAGGACACCGTTGCATTGGGATCGTGATCTAGATGTATATTACATGAAATAGTGATACACATATCTTAAAGGATATATGAAGTACGATGAAAGAAGAGGGGGATACTGATGACGTAGAAGAAGATAAAGGAGAAGGAAATAAATACTTCTTTACAACATGTAGTGGAGGATTCTGAAATTCAGAAAATGGGCGAAAAGAAACGTTGGTGTACGCCGAATTTCTGTGATCCCTGGATAACGTGTAGCGCTCCTTTTTCCATTTTAAGGGGGCGGCCGACTTATTTCATTCACTATGAGATGAAGATCCGCCCACGGACTCGCTGTAGCCTCGTGTTGACGACAAATTTCCGTTATGTTTTCTTTCAGAAAATAAATCCTGCCCTCTCGAGACAATGGAAAAATGTGCTGACGACAAGCAATGTATTCTCACTTCAGATATATGTAATGGACAAACAGACTGCTTAGACGAATCTGATGAATTTCATTGTGGTAAGTTAAACCGTAAGGCAATTACAAGAATTACATGGGTGAATTATACCAATGTGTCCCATTTTATACATGTTACAAGGTCGTTCGTTATACGCCACCACACCATTACTTACATGGTCTGTATTTCAGAAAGGAAACGTTAAAACGTGCCAGTAAAGACAAAACTTATATGGTTACATTTTAATAAAACTTGCATAATTCATGTTATAATTATAATAATGGGGATGATTGATTATGATGATAGCAATAGCGATAGTGATAATGATACGTATATAACTTCAGCCCTTCTTTATCTATTTTATGTTAATCATGCAGTCCGCAATTAACTTTTTTTAATACGGTACATGTATGGAAAACGACATTCATCTGTACAGTCATTTGGTCATAGGCATTAAATTGTATTGATAGAAAATAGTTAAAAACAAAAACAATAAATCAAATCATATTCAAGTAACTAACTGCTAAATTGCGGGTTCTTCGTCCATTGTTTCATCATTGTACTGCTAACTAATCAGTTTAACTACCCTGTATAACTGCAGGAATTATAACTTCGAATAAGTAAAATGCATCCAAACATCCCATCTTCTTACTTTCGTGTGATATTCTCCTTAGATACAGACGACTGTGCAGACAACCCCTGCCACAATGGAGGAACATGTAACGACATGGTCCATAATTACACCTGCACGTGCCTAGCCGGTTTTATCGGAGCAAACTGTGAAATAGGTAACATAGTCCAGAGAATGATTAAAACAGGGGAATGCGAACAGAATCGGCTGAGAGGCCTATTTATATTTTACTTAGTTGTTGTTGTTGTTGTTTTGTTGTTGTTTGAACTGATTTCTTAGAGGTCAATGCCTCGGGGAAACGAACGTTTCTGTAATTAAGAACTCCTTGGCTGAAAAGTAAATCGACACAGATTAATGATTACAATTCGCCTTTAAATTTTTCCGTATATTTTTCCGTATATTTAAGGTTTTATAATGGTGTCCTGTATTTAAGATATCGTTTCTTAGTAGTATTTCTGTACAGATGCCCCATGTAAAATAAACAAACTGAACTCTGAATGCAAGTAGGTAATAGCATAGCGCCATAGACACGTTAACGTATATTGATGTATATAATAGATGATGATTTGAAAGTCTCAATAGGTTAAGGGGACATTTTTAGGTCGTCTAGGAAACCCAAATGTCAATGGTCGCTTTTAAGAACTAGTTGTAATGTGTGATGAATCTTTTTTCCCCTCAATATCAAACACTTTCTCCTCCAATTGCATTAATCAATGATCGCCAAGTAAATAATCTGTAAGAATGTATACCTCTCTATCCTTCGCATCCCCTCTCTTCCTCTATCTTCTCTCTTTCCCTCTCCTCTTCCCCTCTCTATTTATCTGTCTCTCTCTGTCACACTCTCTCTTCTCTCCCCCACCTATCTCTCTGTTCAATATCCTGTTTCCTTGGTCTAGCCCTGTGCCATGGAGGGGAGTTCATGTGCCTTGATGGATCGGAATGCTACCGATCGTCCTGGCGGTGTGATGGTCTCCTCGATTGTCAAGATGGATCGGACGAATTGAACTGCAGTAAGTACATATTTGTTATACCCCTGGCACACCGACAATAGGCTTGCTCACCACACAGGAGACTCCAAGTCAGCAGTAGGATCACTCAGCTAGATATCCTCGGCTTCAATCATCAAACCAAACGAAAAATTGCATTTGATTTTGTCGATCATCTGTCAGTTTGGCGGTGTGACTAGGTTATTAAGAGAGATATTACTGGTAGATGTGGAGATTTTTTTTTTTTTTTTGGGGGGGGGAGCTTTCTCACTCTTTTTAATTTCACGTTAAAGTATATCGTAGATAAAAAGAAAGACAGAATATATATATAAATATATATATATATATATATATATATATATATATATATATATATATACATTGTCCTACTTCTTTGGAATTGTGTGTCCCTTACAAATTCATAGCTCCGCCCTTGATTATCAATACCCATTCAAGTTTGATAAGCACTGTGATATTCCTGTGATATCAATGTCTGACATAAATGAAATATACAATAAGCAAGATAATTATGATAAGCGGTATTTTATGGAAATCTGAAAGGCTTGTATGCAAATTAACGTGTTGTGTGGGCTGATGTCAAATCTCTGTAAAGCTTGATAAATCCTGCAATCGATCAACCATACAAATACCAAGGCACTAAATAATATTGGACCTGAATCTTTTTTATACCGATCATTTCTAAATATTTACACGGATACCTAGAATATTAGGAATGATATCGGGGCGTTTTTTCATACAAAGCATAATCTTTTTTTCTGTTTGTTTGTTTGATTTTTATTTGTTTACTAAAACCATGATAATGAGCTCATTGTAAATGGAAGTTGACCATCAGCAGCATCGAAATTATCGATGTTAGTTTTTTTGTTTTGTTCATAATTTGCTATATTCTGCTGATACAGTGACATGTAAGTTTCAAAATAGGTGCAGTCATGACGTTTAAATGCATTTTGGTAACTCTTAAATGGCAATCGACTGGACTTGTGAATTGAATAAAGACTGGTCTTCTACCGAGGTATTCAATAATGACCACAACGATCGGGAAGGTGATTACGTATTCAGATGCAGCAGAGTCTATTTATTTTCCTCCATTATTCAAATTTCACGGTGGTCATCAAATTGTATTAAGGTGTTTTGCACTCAAATGCCATTTTCCTTAAGTGAAGAAACGACATGCAAGTTCTTTGTTTAATTTCCTTACCTCATCATTAGGTTGAAACTGGAGAGAAAGAGAGAAGACTGAGTGAAAAGAGAGAGAGAGACAGAGATAAAAGATTTGTTTTAAATAGAGACTGAAAGAGAGAAAGTAGAGAAAACGTAGAGAGAGCGAGCGAGAGAAAAGTGGTGGTAAGGGGATATGGATACAGTATGTGGGGGGGGGGGGGGGTTGAGAAGTTCGTTGTAAACAATACAAAGGTCGGCAGATAGAGAGCATATTTTCTTCAAATGAACTAAAGATGAGCAAATATATAGAAGAAATAGTAATGGTGGAATACGTTTGTATCAGATTATGTAATAGATTAAATATAGATATCAAATGAACTTGAAATTAATAGGTATTGATGAATGCATTTTAAGATATACGAGAAAAATGATATAAATGTACAAAAGACAGAAAACCTTCATTGGACCATTCAAATTCAAGATTCAAAACTCTTGACCCTGTTTATGACAAAGACGTCCTTCTCATACCTTTATGACGTATTTTAGACGCCATTTCGGACACCGTTTTGAGTTGGATCCCAGCTTCTAACGGATCAGATTCTAATTGATCACCAATTCCTTTTGACGTATGTCAGCTTTTCAAGAAATGGAACAAAATCCTTTCAATTATAATGTCATATTTTATGTTCATTCCTGTCTGCGTTCATGTATCATGTATCCTCTTGAAATTGAAGTTCTAATTATATATCCAGGCCAATGCAGACGGCTTTATTTGGTCGCATCCAAGTAGCTGAACATTTGAACTTTATTTTGCGTTTCCTTTTCTTTCCATTTCTGCATCAAAATTCTACTGCGGATATATGATATGCAAGAATTCGCAACTGTTATTTTGATTTCATGTTCAATATGATTCTTATTTTAAGGTCATTATATTCTACATCTACGAAGATGTTATGAAATATTGAGAAATTAAAGAAACTGAATGTTTTTTGCCGTTGAATATTCACTTTGCTCTGTTTCCTCTTCTCTGTCATTTAGGCAAATTTGAGTGTGAACACGGTCAGATCAAGTGTGAGGATAATAAACAGTGCATTCCACCTCAATGGCCCGAATTCACAAAGCAAGGTTTGAGCTCAAACCTCCTTTTGTTTCGCCAAACCTCCCTTTGTTAGGTTTGTAAATAACAAAAGGAGGTTTGGCGAAACAAAAGGAGGTTTGAGGTCAAACCTTGGTCTGAGCTCAAACCTTGCTTTGTGAATTCGGGCCAATGGGTTTGTGACGTAGAGCTTATCAAGATTTCTGTTAAATATTCCCTGTTCATTTACCCCTTGTTCTTCTCTGTCATTTAGGCACCTTTGAGTGTGAACACGGTCAGATTAAGTGTGAGAATGATAAACAGTGCATTTATCCTGAATGGCTTTGTGATAACTACACCCACTGTTCAGATGGCAGCGACGAGACGACCTGCGGTATGTATGCCAAGAATGGATGTCCACTGTAAAACAAAAGAATAATATTAGCTGAAAATGTTACCGAAATAAGAGTAAACAAATAGAAAAATCTACGGTAATATCAGACATTAAGAAAATCAATGGTAGATTTTCAGATATTTCAGTGTTCCTGTGAAAAGACTTTATCTGATTAAAGTTTCTTTAAAAAGTAACTTGTAAAATGTTAACCTGAAAGACATTTTGAGGTCTTGCAAAAATATACACCTTTTCTAAATAACTGAATGTAATACTATTGCACTCAGTCAAATTACAAAATGTGTTGGCATACAATGCTTTGAACATGCTGTCCGTATGGGACTGCCTCCCAATCAATTTTAGATCTACATATTACTATTTCATTAAAATTCGAGAAAATATTCGAGTTATTCCAGATCTTCATTAATTTAAGAATTAGCCCCGAGGTCTCTCCTTCTGTAACATTTAACAGAATGATTCTATAAACGTGTCTGTGTGTCATGGTGAAGTGGTTCATTCACTTGACTCTTAGTCACATGATTTAGGGTTCGAATCACAGCCCAGTAGCAACGTCCCTAGCTTGGCTAGACATTAATCCATGGCCTTTATCCACCCACGTGTTGAATGTGTACCCGTACGATGCGAAAGTCATGAAAGTCTGCTCAGCATTGTGAGCGTTTGTAAACTGGCGCCCAGTCTTGCTGGAATGCTCCTCAGGGAGTGAAGAATGTGCATACATCGTGTGCGGGCAAGCCTAAATCCGATGACCAGTGCATTTGTATAGCGATTATAGAGACGTCGACGGTGTATTAATATCTGTATTAATCCAGCATGTTATAATTTTTTTACCATGCTCATTCATTTTCCATACAGTCCACGATCCATACAACATATACCTCGGCCAGGCGGATGATAACTGGGATTATTGCTATGATATGAATGGTACAAGGTGCCTCCACGATAGCCTCTGCTTCTTCCCTCATCAAGAATGCGATGGACATACAGCGTGCCCAAACCGCAATGATGAGTGGTTTTGTAAGTCGTTGCAATGTTATTTATTCTTTCTATCAGAGGCGGCTACCGCGAGAGGGTGTGTGTGCGTGTGTGTGTGTGTGTGTGTTGGGGGGTATAATAATAATATTAATATTTTAAAGTCCACTCCAAATTTTATTAAGTGACACCAAAAATAGGAATTCTTTTTGCCCAATTGATCGTGAGCCCGGCAGCCACTGAGCAGCGCCAGATCGACGTTGCTCTATCCCTTATTGTTGAACGCCAAACAAGGTAGCAGCAACTCCCGTCTTTTAACGTCTTTTGGTATGACGCGGCTGGGGTTCGAACCCATGTTCCGGTGAAAAATTGCTAAGTGGTCAATTTATAAACTATCCTAAACTTAAAACTAACCATAGTTGTAATTTTAGGATGATATTCCCTTAATCAGTTACCGATTAATACCAGTACCAATACCATTGCCCCTAAAATTAAATGTAGATATCTCAAACGTATTTTCCCTGTGGATAGTTTTTCAAGGTGTCAATTATGGCATTCCTGTTGAGAATATTTTTGAACGACATGAAACCCAAACGGAAGACTACAGGCCAACTAACTAGAGACAAGTTTCTAGTAGCTTTGCAATATCAAGAATGCCAAGAGTAGGACCCATATAGCGTTACCGTCATCAAAATGTCGAAATATGATAGTGTTTCCAACGTCGCTGATGGCCAATATAATTTGTTTTAAAAATGATACGATGTCAAAAAGAATTACATGAAATAACCGTGTGATGAAACTTTCCTTGCTGTCCGGCGATACTTCCAACTTTATCATAATATTGACAACATTTTGCGTTCTATGCTCATTCCGAAAAATATGAAAATAAGTTATAAAATGTCTTTTATAAACACAAATTCTAGAAAGGCATGATAAAAACTTGAAAACCTAAACAAAAAATTGTACTATCATAAATTGCACACCATTTTTAACAAGCATTTGACCGCTCAAGAGAAGTGAGATCATCGGAGGAAAAGTTAATGTTTACAAAAATAAAAACTAAGAAGTTGGTGTCGTCTAGATACTTACTCAACGATCGCCTTAAGAAGTTAGTTTTACAATTTTGTTTTTGTTTACTATTGCAGGTTGTCCCGATGGCCAGGCACCGTGTCAGTTTGTGGACATGTGTATTTCAATATCTGGTTTGTGCAATGGTGAATACGACTGCCCTGATCATAGCGACGAGTACGACTGCCCTGATTATAGCGATGAAGACAGTGACTTTTTATAGTAAACCGTCTCGTTTTATATTGCTCCCTCTCCCGTCTATCGACAACCAATCAAACACGTAAGTTTACAACACGGTAGCAGACTGCAACCATGAACTGGTTTAGTCAAGAACATAAATAGGGACTTTTAGATTTGCACGTCGACATAGGGGACTGCTACGTGTGACGTCCTTTTAAGGCACTGGCAAGACGTCACACGTAGCAGTCCACTATGTCGACGTGCGAATCTTGAAGTCCCTAATAATTATTTATGATTGACACGACGTCATTAACATGCATATTCATTGACCTCCTTGTTTATGTGCCCAATTAGAGGCTAACTTACAGCACTGCACATCAGCGATGCGATCTCCAGGGTAGAGAAACTGAATTTAAACTCTTTTAATCTCTTTGGTTCACCAGCTCTTTCCAGGTTTCTTATTTCTTTGGGAGAATTACAGGGTTAACCCTGAAAACTATGCATACAACTGCAAATCTTTTCTAGTAAGTCATAACTTATCGTATGAGTTAACAGAAGGGGTGTGACCAGGGGCGGATCTAGCCGGCGGCAAGAAGGGGGCCCAATTCATGAGAAATGAGAAATATTTAGCGGCGAATCAGCCAGCCGGCGAATAAGGGGGGGGGGGGGGGGGGGGGGGGGGGGGGGGGTAAGCGGACACTTTTTTTTTTTTTTTGGTCTCGAAATTTGAAAATTTGAAGAAAAAAATTTCGTTGGGGGGGGGGGGGGGTAAGGTCACTTTACGTTAGCCGTGGGCATAATTTTTTTTTTTAATTAAAAAAAACAAAAAACAAAAACAAAAAACAAAGGGGGGGGGTTATTTTTTTTTAGGGGGGGTTTACACACATAAAAATACCAAAGGGGGGGTTGAACCCCCAACCCCCCCCCCCCTGCGTACGCCCCTGAATGGTATACTAGTACTACAGTAAACCACCCCTAAATATTAAAGTTATGGACTTGTGTCGATTCAAGAACTGTGAGTTCATCTATCCTCCTACCTACTTACATACATACATATTGTACAGTTCTTTATCTATATCTATTGATAATGTCTTTTTGCTATTCATGTTCACATAAGTTGGCTGTTGATGTATTTCTTTATTTTTTATTCCCCCGACATACCCGTCAAACTACAATGTAGGCCTACTATCTTACTGTTCTCAAGCTAAATATGTATCAAGACGATTTTATGTAGTGCGCCATCTTTTGGTCATTTCTAATGTCAATGCTATTCTTCGTGCCTCTACATCGAGCTAGAACCTTTTCCATTATAGATTTAGCTTATTTGAAATAAAACATGTTTATTTTTGTTTAAGAATGTCTCCAATCTTCAAATAACATTATTAATACATACTTTTTAGGCACCACAAATAGTGTAAGAAGTCAATGAGAATTTATTGAAGGCTGTGTCGTGTTTTGGCGCCTCTTTCACGTCGTACATTAAAAACAATAACATATAGAGAACTGAAATATTCTTTTGTAGCAACCAAGCTATTTTAACACAAAAAAACCATCGTAATGGCCGTATGAAGGACATTATACTCGACAAAAATCGAATATAAATGGGAGAGTTACTTACTGTTCGTTTCATTTTCATTTCTTTCTCTTCCAGCTCTCACGGTTTACAGTAGATATATACTATATCAACTTTGAAGTGCCACTCCATGGGATTGATAGAGCCGTTGAAATTCTGCGTCCTCTCTATGTATTTATTTGTATTTATGATTACAAATTTGTCTGAGAGTTCCAACATGGTAATCGATGCTGGTATTGATGAAATAAATTATCTTACCTAGGCTAGCCAACTTTTTTTCTCGTAACAAACTGATTTTGATTAGTACGATAATTGTGAGTGTAATGCCTTGTAAACCTTCGAATGTATCATTGATTTATAGAATGCCAACTTCTACAAGTATTATGTTAAATGTGGGAATACATTTGATATTGTTCATGAATGAGGGATGCATGGGTAAAACTCGAATCGACTAGACTTCTTGTCCTTGTCTCGACAAAGGATTAGGCGGGAAACAATGCGAGCCATGTACAACTAAAAAAAGTGAACCGAAAAGGAAAAATAAGTGAGCATTTCATGTGTTGTTAATATTCTGTAAATCAATGAAGGTTTGTTTAATACAGTTAAGTTTTCAACTCAATTTGTGATTGACATGTAATTTATTTAGCATTTTGATTGCTTGTTTAAATAATTTGATTTCATATATATCCTGCTTTCTTCAAAAAGGCAAAATTACATTTCTACAATTATAATAATTAAAATGGATCATGAGAGTCAAGTTGTGTATTGCCTTCTTAGGACTGATTCCCTTTGAATATAAATCATTTTTTAAGCGTTGACAAATCCACAGAATTGTTTTTATGTAAAACATCTTTAGTCTTTGCTCAACTATTATAATTATTTTATAGAAGATGAAAAGAGTACCAGTTAATTAAAAGGTTATGTTTGACGTCTAAACGTCCTATTTACAGAATTGCAACTTGCGAGTTCAGTTTTCTTTTTCATAGACCCTGACAATTTATTCTTTTCTTTTGGCAGATTTATAACTGGGCTATTATTCCCGAAAAAATGCCCAAGGTCAAATATTGTTTGACACTCAAACCGGTCAAATAGCCCGGAGAATATTATCTCTCTGACTTTTATCACCGGGTATCTATTTATAGGACAGTTATCTTTGGATAATTACCCTCAGACAAATATTTTAAAGTCAATCATCTCAGGACGAGTACTCTCTATTACTGACATGGTGCGACCCTTTCCCAGTAAACTACCATGCGAGGAAAACTTCAACGATGTCGGAGCAAGTACTCCCGGACCATTTATCTCGACAGTTACCTTCAAATAATTACCCACTAACAAATATTGGACAATTCCCCGGATAAGTAATACCGGTAAAATATTCATCGGACAATTATCTCCAAACGAGTAAACCCGGACAACTACCACTTATGATAATCAAGCAGATATTCAATGCCAAATAATTATCTTAAAACAATTATTACTACAAGACAAATACCCCAAGGACAACTGACGTGTAGGAAACTTACGTAGAACAATAAATCATTCCAGGAAAAACACCCTTTTGAAAATGACTCAAATTAATCGAAAAAAGTACCTCAGAACTATGAATGTTTGGGTGGAGAACAATCCGGAGCGGTTGTCTGGTTTGTCTTTAGTTGTCTCGGGATTATTACCATTGGATACAAATAACAGTAATGTGATTTAATCCCTATGTGGTATAAGGTTTTATGGTATATTGTACAGGGAATGCAGGATTAACATGTATGTATATCCTTAAATGTATTACATAAAATCATCTCGTAATCTAACTACGGTACTATCATCTTATAGATCAGATAAAGGTCGTTTACAGAAATTAATTGTTGCTATACCGAATCATATATACATGAATATATTACATACGGGAAAATCCTCTTCAGTTCTAACAGTTACATTTACATATTTATTTTTTGTGTATATATTGAATTATCATTCGCATTTTTAGTGCCATATAATGAATGATTACCTGTCATATTTTATTACCGTTAATGGTTTTATTTATTACTATTGTGTAAATAGTTAATGATTAACTTATATACCAATTCTCCGAACTGTTCCTTATTAATTGCGGGTATACCTATTTCACAGTTATTCAGGAAGATGCCGTATTTAGGACACGACTCTACTCTTCAAAAGAGCCGTGTATCCTATACTTGCATTATATGTACAAGAAAAGCACTAAACCAAACTGCCGAAGTTTCAACTTACTTCGATAATACTGTACTACATAAAACTATATAAAACAAAATGATGTAATAGTTAGATGAGGTGAAAATATGTGATCACTTAAAAAAATAAAATCATATAATGTCATTTTGCGGTTGTCCAGAGCTCTTATGGTTTCAGAGTCATAGCTTTGGATAATCTCAATGCAATGCCCGGGTAAAATTAAAATCCTGGCTGGACTCATATTCGTAAATAGTTAATGATTAACTTATAACCAATTCTCCGAACTGTTCCTTATTAATTGCGGGTATACCTATTTCACAGTTATTCAGGAAGATGCCGTATTTAGGACACGACTCTACTCTTCAAAAGAGCCGTGTATCCTATACTTGCATTATATGTACAAGAAAAGCACTAAACCAAACTGCCGAAGTTTCAACTTACTTCGATAATACTGTACTACATAAAACTATATAAAACAAAATGATGTAATAGTTAGATGAGGTGAAAATATGTGATCACTTAAAAAAATAAAATCATATAATGTCATTTTGCGGTTGTCCAGAGCTCTTATGGTTTCAGAGTCATAGCTTTGGATAATCTCAATGCAATGCCCGGGTAAAATTAAAATCCTGGCTGGACTCATATTCATACAACCTTACCAATCATAGTTGCCAAATAACTATGTTCCATAGCCCATGTCCTTAGTTAACAACTGGCCTAGTAAGACTTTATGCATTTGGGCCAATACTAACAACCAAAATGATATCTCAAAAGAACAGATTTCAAAGAAGCTAACAGTTTAGTTTATGGCACATTCTTTTGTTAATAATAATTTTGTATAAATATGGATAATAGTACTATAGACATAGGAGAGTAATTAACTAATATGCTATTTTGAAATAAAGTATTGCAGGGAGATAATCAAAGTTTGATTTTTTTTTTTTAAACGTTTGACGATTTTTTTTATTTTTTAAGGACCGGGAGTTTCATATTTGATGTCCATATTAAACCTACTACATCCCTAGTCATAACTGAGTGGAAACAAATTCTTAATTATTCTATGTACAATTACAGTACTTTACCTCAAATTATTGAGTGAATATTTATATCTATCCTATAGAATTCAAGGGGAAATATACAATTACAGTACTTTACCTCATATTATTGAGTGAATATTTATATCTATCCTATATAATTCAGGGGGAAATATTCTGTATGGCATTATTTTGTGAGAGTAGAATAAATCATATCTTTGGATATATACATTGTGATTCACGGTAATATTGATGTCAATTGTCTTTTCTTGGTTATCTCTTTAGGTTATATCGGAAGAATGAATAAATGAACGAGCAGGGAGTCATGACAATACATTTTCTATTGCCCATATGCTTACATTTATCACAAATTAATGATGCAGAGCTCCCTTTCTGCTCCCAAAGATTCGCTTGTCAATTATACTTTCCCCTTTTCTTCCCCCATTCTCTCTCTTTCTCTCTTTCTCGCTCAATCGCCTTGGTGTCTCCTACTCCTAGAATCTGGTTTAAGGTTTGAAAAACAACTCAAGAATCACAAATATAAACAAATTATATATTTATATATTGTTTTTTAATAATTTTATTTCACCCTTAAAACATTAAATCACGCCTTTTAATCATGTTATTTAACTTTTCATTTTCCTCAAATGCAAAAAAACAGACGGAAATCATCTTTGATATCACATTGAAATGCATCTGGTTTGAATGATTTTGAGAAAAAAAAAAAAAAAATTACGAACACTTACATCTCATTGACCTCAAAAGAACAGTCGTCAGACTGAATTGAGTTTTTACTTTGATTAAATGAACAAAGAAATGGAAGAGAAAAACTGGTCAAAATATGACGAAGTGCTATTCTCCTCTATCAACGCCTCGCCAATATACACAACTTAATTATGACACAATAGACCAATATCGTGTGTATTGAAATATGATATCTAGTAATAGTATAGTCATATCTTTCAGTGCAAATATCCACACTCCGAGCTTGGGGAGACATGGGGATCTCCGAATGTATAAATGCATTCTGCAACGGTGCTGAGCACTTAGTTTACTATCCTAACAGAAAACAGGCATATGTTACCATGGCAACGCATTAAGAATAGCGCCCCAGGGTCCTATGAAGTGAAGTACTGAATAATATCCTCCGAAAGGAAAAGATCTGCATGTTTAAAGCAAGCTGTGAAAGCAAGAAACATTAAGAAGGAGAATCAAATAATATTCAAGAAATGAGAGAAAACTACTGTTTCGTCGATATGAAATAATGTGTGAGAAAAGGAGGATGAATGAAACATTCTGGAAAATGTTTCAAAATAACCAACGTAATGTATTACCGTGTTCAAAAGATGAGTAAATGATAGGGCGTGTGGAAGAAGAAAAAAAAAATCGTTGTAGGGTTCACCTGCACTGCAAGGTGATGATAACACTAATAATAACAAAAACAACAACTATGGTAATGATAATAATGATGATAATAATAATAATAATATTGATAATAATTATGATAATAATAATGATAATAATGTTAATAAATTATGTTATTATTGTAATAATTAAATTGATTATAATAATAATAATGATGTTACTTCTACTTCTAATAATGATGATGATAATGTTAACAAAAAAAAGATCTGTAATTTCATGGTGGAAGAGAGGAGAACTCAATCGGAAAGATGATCGCGAATTCGAATGAAAAATGAAAAGATCACACTAGTACAGTGAAAACATCTAACGTTACACCCCTGAACTCTAACATCATTCCAACATCTGTTGGATTACTGAAGTGAAGCGATCGATGAAGGAAACACGATTGATTGATTTATTGACCTGAGACCTGAGCAATATTGACAGCAAATGTCATTCCATTGTGTCAGTGTTAAATTTGACGCCACTTTTCAAGTCACAACTATCTATACTACACAGTATGGAAGGTGGCATGTTGTCAATCACACGTGATTAAGCAAGAATTGTTTGATATTTGAGGCTATGATTTAGAAGCAAATCTGCAAATGTAGACATAATAGATACTATCCTTTTTAAACGCACCATTCATTCCTTCATTCTTCTTTTTCTCGACGAGCAATGTTTTCCATTCAAACTATAGCAATTCAAACTTTTACAATAAAACATAAAACATGACAAATGCTAACTTTGTTACCAAAAGATACCAATGATGAATTAATTTACCCAATGAGTGCAAAGACATAGACATGGAGACTATTACTGTAGAAACCAGAGTTTGGATTCAATAGATTCTTTCTGTGTGAATATATATCTAAAGGTCAGAACGATTAATGATTCTTCTAGAAAAAAAGATAGTAGAAGAAAAGAAAAGCGAGAGTAGGAGAAGAGAATAATGCAATTTGAACCTTGGCAAAAAAGCGTAAACCTTGTTACCTGTATGCCATTGCCATCCTGCTTTCCAATTTAATTTGCAGGCCCACGGAATGTCAATGCTTATGAAGGATGGCTAGTTCTGCTCGCCGTTGCTATGGATACGGTAACGTAAACAAAATAGTTCAAATTGAAATCCGAGCGTATAACAGTGTACTGCCACGTTAGTGTCGCCGAAGCTAGAGAGAACTCGTGATTATTATGACCTTTGACTTAGATTCTTTTGTTTAGACATTACTTGACATTAAATGATGTGCGTAACTAAGTTTTAATCTCGGCCGTAATAATAACAAATCTGACCTCAAAGCAGAAAGATGTCAGAGAATAATTTGATTTACGGAGATGCACTAAAAATGATGTTATTCACCTTATATTATCGCACACATATGATGCTATAGATTATACACAATATTGTTTTCGATAAAGTTTTAAATTATCAGTTAGTTATCAGGTGAATTGTATTAATATTGCAAATATCCATATTTTGAATGTTTATAAAATAATTTACTCCGCCGAATATATTTAATAATGATAATAATATTAATAATAATAATAATAATATGTCTTGTTTACCCAGGTAGCCTCATTAGTATTCATACTGTTCTCCCTAAGGGCCCTGCAATCATATTATGTCATCGGACTCAGGCTTACCCGCACACAATGGATGCACATTCTCCACTCCTGGGGAGCATTCCAGCCAGGCGTCATTTTGACAAGCCCACACTTGCTAATCTAAAGAAGTCGGGAAGATTTATATTTTAAAAAATAGAGCTACTTCTTTACTCGTACATCCTGAAATCTATGTAGAGTGTATCACAATGCCTAATGACTACCATTATAGTCTCACATTGCTCCGCCTCCTTCTCGAAATCCCACGAGTAAAATTATCCAAAACTTCGACTGGTCATTATCATCAATTTTTCATATCGAACTCAGCAAATGATTTATCGGGAGTCACAGGCCATGCACAGCAACGCCGGTCCATCTGCATAATAGATGAAAATCATTGCACACTGTCCATTGAAGCGATATTAAGTGGACTATAACGTCATACATCACAACAATCCCACTTGGACGATTGGAAAATCTTGGATATCAATCATTGCTAATACTCTCGTGATATGCGGTCAACGGAGTTACGAAGGCAGAAAGTATTCATATATGTGTACAGGGAACAGGGGGCATCTATGGATTTTTTTTTCGGGGGGGGGGGGGGGAGTTCAGACCTTTTCTCTCTGGGATGCATGCAAAAAAAAATTTTTCATTCTATCATGATTTGACAGGTTAGCTACTTTTAGCATTTTACACGCCGCTTAAAAATCAATTATAGAAGACAAGTCGCCCGTTGACAGGTAATAAAGTTAAGCTATATTTCCCGTATTTCATCACTGACCTTTGGTTTAATTAATTTTATATATATTTTGGTCAGTTACCTCTTTAATACCTCTTTAAAATGCAGTTACTCTTTTTTCGTAGTTTTACTGTGGTTTGTTAAAGAATAATTATCAAATTGCAAGCATGATGTAAACTTTAGATCTTCTCAATGGCTCACATTATCCTAGATGTTTAAATTCTTGGCCTATTGCTATTCTTAATGTTGTACATTTTTCAGGTTGATTATTGCAAATCATTGGATATCATAGTGAACACGCCAATGATGACACTTTTTAACTGAGACCAAATCAACCAAACTCTGAAATCCATTGAGGCACATAAATTACATGCTCACGAAAATTACGTAATCATTATTCATTCACATACAAACGGTGCATTCCAAAATATTCTTTTGAGAAGCGAAATTGTTTTTATT